TGTGTGTATTTATATATATATATATATATATATATATATATTTTTACTAAATTCAAAAGTCTTTTTTTTTTTTTTTTTTGAGTAACACTTCCACTGCCTGTTTCTGGTTAAATTGTATCTGTTGGAAAATAATACAGTTAATGCTTGATTCTGTCAAAATTTACTTTGTACCTGGATTATCATATTATACTGGTAAATGCCAAGCATGCAATTAATGTATTTGAAAAAGCTGTTAAGCAACTATACTCTATTTCAGCAAATCATGTAGACATGTGAGGGCTAACGTAAAGCAAGATAACACAGATTTGTCATAAGTGTAGGCAGGGAAAAATAAATCCTCCTTTTTAAGGATTTAAGCTTACTTATGAATCATCTTGGACATGTGTTAGGACAAAAATGTCATTTTTCCTCAGAGTGTTCTCGGAACAACACATTGAGCATAAAATGTGCATCCTTCTTGGTTTTGAACAGAACGTGTTCCTTTTCACAATAGGTAAGGGCAGAACAGAGCTGTTAAGTATCTGATGTAATGGGGTGGGGGGGGAAAGGGGGGACAGGAGGAGGAAATCTGAGTCTCATTCCCTTCATGTTGGTGAAGTAGACTTTGATTTGCTGCTTCTTCTTATCTTTTCTACTCTGTTAGGGTTTTTTGTTTGCTTAAACAGCTGAAGGGCGCTCCTGAGAGTTCTCTCCTTACTCTTCATTTCTGTCTTCGTTCCTTGCTCTGTTTATGTCCTTGGTTTCTGGTGTGATTCATACCTTAGGCACATAAGCAAAAGTTACTAAGGTGTAACTGCTCCCTGTTGATTTAAAAGTTGGATTGGATATGATTTAGGTTGTAATAATTCAGTACCTTGAGCTGCAGTACATCAGAATGATTCTGTGTGGATAATATCTCTTGGCCAGGTGTGGCTTGCCTTTTTGTTTTTAAAAGTTCTCTCTTATGTGACATGAGCATGCGTTTTGGCATCTTAAGGTGGTCAGATCTGTGAAGGTATTCAGTAAGCAGTGACAAGGTATAGCGAGACAGTAAGTGCTGTAAAACCTGAACTTGAAAGATGAGAGAACAGAGCTGAGTAAAACTGAGTAGTATGTAGCAGTATGAGTGTCGCAGTGGCTGAGGCTCAACAAAGTAACCTTCAGAACTTTCTTTTGCAATGATACTCAACTGCGGTTAATTTCAAAGTGACTATTAGAGCCACAGAATGGTGGAATGGCCTGAAATAAGCCATTGGTCCTGAAAAGGTCCTGAAAATGAGCCAATGGCCTGAAATGGTCCTGAAAAGGACCACAATGCTCATCGAGTTCCAACCCCCTGCTATGTGCAGGGTCACCAACCAGCAGACCAGGCTGCCCAGAGCCACATCCAGCCTGGCCTTGAATGCCTGCAGGGATGGGGCATCCACAACCTCCTTGTGCAACCTGTTCCAGTGCCTCACCACCCTCTGGGTGAAAAACTTCCTCCCTCACTCCATCAAAGTGTATTTTCCTGTTTCCAGCAGGATTTGTGCTACATTGTTGTATTCCACCTCTTCATTATTTTTTCTGTTTCTCCTCCCAGCTGTGTGTTAAATAATTGGCAAAATGTAAGGCTAGGATAGTAGAAAGATGGAAGACTTGTTCTGCTCTTGAGTAGTAGAACTTCTTCCTGTACCTGAGCTCTCTTTTTAGATAGCCCCCTTCCTGGGCCATTAATAGGGAAGCCTGCTGTTCTGTGAAAGATGTGAAAGCTGTATTTAATGTAAACTTTGTAGCACTTAGACTTACCAAGTTGTCTATAAAACCAAAGTGGTGCAGCTTCTCTAGATGTAGACCTGGAGAATTGCTGACTGTGGGAGTTTATTACATATTTTCTTACATATACTATTCTCCAAACCAGAAGGGAGTAGGGTTAAATTGCTTGGTCTACCCATTGTATTTCTCCAACAGAATTTTATGTTGTAAGATAGGATTTTATTCACATTTTCAAAACTCTGAACATCTAGGGAGAAATGTGAAGGCATCTGTGTTGGGTGTTCCAGGGAGGAAATGAAATATATTCAGATGGAAAGCTGGAGTGTTTGCCTAGTTCATTTCCAACACACTATTCCTGTCTTGAGAAGCTACAGAATAAAATGAACAGAAATGAGTGCTGCTCTGAAAGTAATGCCTCCTGTTTTATGCTGTTGGTCCAGAATATCAGAGGTGCATGGTGGTGGTATGGCAGTACTGTCAGGAAGACTCAACCTCTATTCCATTGAATTTTGTTGCTGTGCAACAGATAGCAGTGAAGGGACAGTATAAAAAATGGCATCTGACATGGAAGTGTGTGTGAAGCAAAGGTGTGGAGATGAATTCCTCCATGCAGAAAAAAAAATGGCACCTGTTGACCTTCATGAATGCTTGCTAAATGTCAGTGGGGACTTAACAGTGGGTGTCAGCACAGTGAGGTGGTGAGAGGTGTGTTTCAGCAGTGGTGATAGTGGGTCACTTCTTCTAGCACAGACTTTCAGTTTGGCTTGCAGGCTGTATTTCACTCTGGGCAAAAATGCATAGCTAATGGTGGCAGCTATCTTGAAAAGCAGCATTCTGTAGGAGAGAGTTTGCGCTATCAAATAGCGTTACTGTGCTCTTTATATCTGTTGTAATTTCCTTGGAAGTAAACAGGAAGCATTACTTTTGGAGCAATCTACATATTAAAGTTTCAGTGTATAAAAAGTCTTGGGCAGCTACTAATCTGTTTATTTTTTCTTTATTTTTTTTCCAAAGAAAAGCTCTCATAATCTAAAGATGCTCCCAAGTTGCTTGTTAACAAGGAGATCAGAAGCAGATCTGGGTTTTCTTGTGAGAAGTTTGACTGCTGGTCGGTTGAGGAGGAACCTTCCATATTTTGGCTGCATGAAGTTTCCTGTTTGTCTGTATTGGGAATTCTGCAAATGATCTGTAGTTAAGAGGCAGTGCTCTTTCGCCGTGTTAAGAATATTCTTGTAGTTTCTTGAATACATCTTTCACTGGTGAATTTCTTTTAGTTGGTCAATACAGAGAGGAAAATGGCTAGTGATGCACTTGAAGTGATAGCTGTCTTTGCTGTACCTTGTGATTACTGATTTGGATTCTCTTGGTGATAGGTCTGGAGTTGTGTTTATTGGAATTGGGTTTTATATTTGAATCAAGTATTTTGTGTAATTATTTTGCCCTCTGACTGTTTTTAAGCAAATCTTGTAGTTGGAACTCCAGACAAAACATGTAGATCTTGCATTGCAAGGATCAGTTATACGTGCTCTGATACTCTGCATTATTCTTTATTTCCCCCGTCCAGGCCTGGTGCAATAATATAAATTCATTTGCTTGTTTGAAAGTAACAAGTTAAACACACGAGCTAAGCACACAATTGCAGTCTGCTTTAGTTCTGCTATAGTAATGGGAGGGAATAGTGTAGTGTTATCTTTGCGTTTTCAGAGTACAACTAAAAATCTTGCTCTCCCTAGGTTGTTCTAGCCATAGCGCAGAATTTGATTGGGATGACCTTATAAAATAACATGAAGGATGAGTATTGTTTACTTGGCTTGCTTATTTTGAAAGCTATGGAAGTATGCAGATGTCAGTCACTACAAGTTCTTTATCAAGAGTATTCAAACAGTAGTACTCTATTTCAGTTCCATTTTTTTGTGTGGGAGCTTGGAAAGTGTAATGCTCAAAACTGTTGGGAATGGAAAAATCTTTAATTATTGTTTTAGCTGTTTTATTTCTCCTTGTTTTGGCTGAGCGCTGCATTTTTGGGTATTCTGTGTATGATGCGATGTGAACCTCAGCGGAAATGACTGTGAATAAAATAAGGAAGATACAATTCAAAGAAATAAATCATCAGTTCCAACTAAAGAGGAGATTATAGTGAAATTAAATGGTTAACAACTGCTTTGTATTGTTAATCTTGACAATAGAAGTTATCCTGAAATACATTTGTGAGCAAGGGACGCAGTTATTCTTGTTACAGAATATCAAGATTCCACTAAAACTTATTAAGCTTTCTTTGCAGTTCTTTGCAATTTGATTTCTTTTTACAAGGAAGACCTACCTGGAGCATTTCTTTGTTACGCATACTGTGTGTAAATAATGTGAAAGTTTTCTTACCTTATGTTACCGTATGTTACAGTGCTGTATATCTTTTTTTAATAAAAAAAAACAAACAGTACAGCTGCTGAAGGATTTAATTGCTTCCAGTGCTGTATTGAAAATCAGTGTTACACAAACAATTTCATTTCGAAAAAACTGATTAACTTAATCTGTAAGGATACTTGAGTAGATAACATGGCTAGTTTTCCACACTAGTCAGTCATTCTAATTAAATCTTTTTTTCTACGGTGTGTAATGTTCAGCAGCTTAGTATTCATTTTCACAAACAGATCCTGGATATGAAGTCAGATTGGTAAAACATTTTAATACAAGTTTTACTACCAGAAATCTGGTCTTTTTTTTCCATCCTGTTAGGGAGTGTACTTAATATGGGTTGCAAATCAAGACTAATAATTTTCTGTGTCACTGCCTTGCTTTCTTTACGTTCCTGTGTCACAAGTCTATTCTGGGAATTACTTCTTTCTGACATAGAAAGAGACGACCTCATTATAAATTTGAATCCCTACCCAAATGAGCGTTTTGTAACACTGGAGACCTGGGGATTTGATCTGTGGTATGGAAGATGTTTTTGTAATGCTTGTGATATGTTAAAAAAGTATCTAAAGAAAAAAGCAGGCAGTTATGATGAGAAATGACTAGCTTTTTCCCTAATCTTTTCTCGCAAGGTTTGGGAAGACCAGAGGTGGGAGTTACTTGCTTTTCATTTTGTTACGGTTTTTAATTAGAATAAGTTATTAGGTAGCGTAAGAGTAATTTTTTCTTATTACAGACAGAAAGTTGTATTAGCAATGCAGTGTCCCAGCAGTAGATCTCTAGCAAAGAACTACCCAGCATACCGTAACACTGCCAGTTCTGTTTTCTTCCTGTGCAGAAATGATGAGCCTCCCATGTTCGTGTAACATCTGCTGTCTTCTATATGTGATTAAATTCCTGCAAATGATTTCAGAATTGAAAATAGACTAGCAGCGTTTAGTAATATATCATTTGAAATATCGTCCACAACTTTAAGAGAAACAATAAAAATACCCAAACTTGCAAAAAAATATGTCAAATTCAAGTTCTGCCACTTAGAAAGTTGCTTACCAAAGTATGACTTTCAAATGCCTTTCTTTATGTCTTTTTAATACAGCAGTAGATATGTTTCTTTTAGTAACTGCTAAATAAATAATGTTACAGGTGTTGGACTGGTTAGTTTTTGAAATGCATAGATAACACTTAGCTATGTTTATTCCTGTCACTGGAGATGGTGCAGTATTTTTGAAACGGATGGAATTTTTAAAGTCAGAATAATGGTTTATCACACTTATTTGAACTGTTCATAGAATCACAGAATGGCCTGGGCTGGAAAGTACCCCAAGAATCACCAAGTTCCAGGCCTTCTGCCACATGCAGGGCCACCAACCTCCACGTTTAATACCAGACCAGGCTGCCCAGGGCCCCATCCAACCTGGCCTTGAACACCTCCAGGAACGGGGCATCCCTCTCTGGGCAGCTGTTCCAGCACCTCACCACTCTCATAGTGAAGCACTTCCTCTTGACATCCAATCTGAACCTTTCCTCCCTGAGCTTAAAATTCTCCCTTGTTTTACCACTATGTGATAAATGTTGATTCTCCTCCTTTTTTTTTTTTTTTTTTTTAATCCTCTTTTAAAACCTGAAAGGCTGCAGTAAGATCTTCTCGCAGCCTTCTCTTCTCCAGGCTGAACAATCTCAGCTCCCTCCACCTGCCTTCATAGCAGAGAAATTCTATTTCCTATACAGTATGTAGGATATAGGCTTGATATCTTTAATGTTGCTGTCACAATGTCTTTTAATTATTTCAGTGCTTCCTTCTCGTTATTGCACTTCTACTATCTAGTGATAGTAAGTGAGATGTGGATATTAAAAATTGACGGTAATGATCTTCCTTTATCAGCCTACACATTGTGGTCTTCAAGCCCTACTACAGTATAGGTAGCTAAAAAGTTACACTCATTCTGATAATGCTAATAGTAACCAGTGTTAGGTCCTGCACAACGTCCTTATTTCTAAATTGAAGATATGGGTTTAAAGGTTGCACTATTCAGTTGATAAGGAATTAGCTGGAAGTTCACAGTAGTAAGAGAGCTACTGAGCTGGAGAGCTGTGGTCAGTGACTCTGTGTCCAGGTGGAGGCCAGTCATGAGCGCTGTCCTCCAAGCTCTGTCTTGGGACCAGTACTCTTTTCTACCTTTGTCAGAGTCCTGGGTGATGGCACTGAGTGCACCCTCAGCAAGTTTGCAGGTGGCACTGAGTTGAGTGGTGCAGTTGACACGACAGAAGGAAGGGATGCCATCGAGAGGGACCTGAACAGCCTTGCGTCCATGTAAAGCTCATGATGTTCACTGAGGCCAAGCGCACTTGGCTCAGCGCCGTCCCAGCTATGAGTAGAGACTGGGAGAGGAGCTCCTTGAGAGTTGACCGGCTGAGAAGGACCTGGGGGTCCTGGCAGATGACAAACCACA